TGCATTATTAATGTCTTATTTGGTTTTGCCGTTTCTGCGAAAAACTGTCACTTTCAATTTAAGTGTGTCATTGCAGAGACTTGAAAGTTCCAGACTTGTGATTTGCATAAAGCACACCTTTGCTGATTGACTGATTATTTATTTCATGGGAGTATCCTGCTGCTACTAAGCAATCCTACATAAAATAAGACTTTATTAAGCTGCAAATTCAGTTGTGCTGCTGTGCAACCTGCTAAACCTGCTGAGAGCCAACAAATCCCTTTTTAGTATAAAACTATTAACCTTTAGAGACTTCAGCACAGGACATGCAGACTCTGCGAAAGACGTAAGATTGTAATCTAACTCCCTAAATAACTGACATGAATTCAGAGTGAGGCTAACAGAGGGCCTGTATTTCTGGAAATTGTTACTGGAGGAAATGCTGCAGCTTATCAGAATGTATTCCAAACATCATAGTCCAATTATCACAGGAAGTTTCTCTTTAAAGAGAAGGCCTTTAACCTCCAGGGAGGATGTTGCACATTGAGTCTTTACTCCATAAGGTAGAAAATATTTTTTCCCCTTAATATTTATCAATATTTATAAATACATGTCTTATTCAGGGTGGGCAAAACAACATTTTCTAGAATGTAATGGCAAAAAAATTGACATGCCATCCTTGTCATGCCAACTGAAAATATTGAGCTGCAGAAATGCGTTTTGAAGTAATCTGAGTATCTTCAACAATCTAAAAAAAAAAATAGCATTAATGATCTTTTATGCAGTGTCACACCAAAGGAATTTCTTGGAGAGTTCCTGTAACAGCAATATACTGCATGAATACAGAACTCCACCTTGTGGTTGTTTTAGTCAACCTTAATCTGAAGCCATTGACCGAGTTACAGCACTTGCTTGTGGAATATTAAGATGCCAAGTTTGTTCATGGGATTTTCAGCTTTGCTTTATTGATCTTGATATGAAATTACATTTTTGTGACATGCCTCAGGCCACTTTATGTCTAGACTATTTATATTTATCTGGCCAAGCAAGTTATTTACTTGATTGATTAAATACACTAGGGGGCGCTATATATAGACTTCCAAACAAAGGTGCACAAAAAGTATACGGAGCAATATATTGCTTCGCTTTTTCACAAAGGATATACCCTGCACAACAATAACGTTAAAAAATAAAAAATCTTTGATGGCACTGCATTTTGGAAGCTAGAATCAAAATACAGGCGATTAATGTTAGCTGATATTAATATCAATAAATAATGTCTGTGATGATGTGTTTGGTGTTATTTATGGTAACATTTTGCATGATGATGGATCAAACAACAACATAAATCGAACTCATTGGAGAAATAATGAAAGAGTCATAAATTCTTGTATTCTGGCTTTGTTTATTTTTATTTATTCTGGCTTTGATATCGAGTGCCATTAAATGAGACCCATTATGATTTTACTGAAAATGTATATACTTAAATAAAACTAAAACATCAAAAAAGGTCGAATACATGTCATTTCTCCCTTTAATGGTTAATAACCTGCTATCTTTGACCCAGCAGACAATGATTATTTTCATTTTTCATTCTTGACTTTCTCAGGTTAAGTGTCACTAGCTTTTTGAAACATGAGATGATATCTGCTGCCAGTCTGAATTAAACATGTTCTGGCTGAACAGAGAAAAACATTCAATTAAATATATGGAGTATAAAACATCAGCATATTAAAAATGGTTGTTAATTACTGTCAATTAAACATTATTGCTTCATCACTTAAACAGTGTTGCGAAAATACTGTATTTAATAATGCAAATCATTAAAAATAGTATATTCTTATTTTATTGAAAATAAACATTTTACAAATGCATAAAAACACATGAGAATATTAAACAAACTTTCATTAAACAAATCTTTTAAAAACAGTCCATATCATATAGACACAGAGTGAGATGTGTATAAACTGCTGCCTTTAACTTCAATACTGTAAAATCAGTGCAATAATCTTTGTCAGTACAGTGCCAATGACTTCATAAACCATTATTTGGCGGACTGCTCCCTTGGTGGCTGGGCCTTTACTCGTCTTAGGTATTCTTTGGAAACTCTTACATACTTTTTAGTGGGACTCCAACTTTTTCTCCCTGAGAACAACAAAACACATTGTTAGACATTGAAAATAAAGCTGTTCTACTGTCTTGATAATGACTTTCTCATTAATTACAGACAAACCCAAAATGATCAAACATACCATTTTTACCACAAACATCCATACAGCTTTGTTTGGAGATGAAGTTATTATTGCTTCCTCCACATCCTGTGTATATGAACTCCTCGCAAGTCTTAGTAGCAGAGTTGTAGTAATACCTTGGTATGGAAGCTAAGCACTTTCCTTTGTCCAAAATATCATTGCAAATCACAGGGATTGCTGGAAAAAATAAAAAAGACCACAAAAATGAACCTTTAAACTTTTCATCTTTGCATTTTCTAGGGACCTCAGATATGTTCTAGGTGAAGCCAGGGTCCATTAACTTAAGCAAGGCAAGAGACTGGAAACTATTTAGACGTGATGGTCATTAAACAAGCCTGTTGTGCTGATGATTTGAAAAGATGACAATAAAAATATCTCCAATGAAGACGATTAGGGTTGCAATAAGTACACAGATCCCTTAATGTTCTCCTCTATGTTCCGCTCATCCATTTTTTTTTAATGCTATTGACATTTCCTCACCAAACGATTATCAAGATTTAAAACTTTATTCCTGCTATTTTTCTAAAGAGGGCAAAAAAAAAAAAAAAACACTTTCCAATATTGTCTTTAAATACAAGTATATATATTTTTAAATTTGCATTTTAAATATTTTTTATGACCTAGAATGCAATTTTCTAATTGAAATACGTTTTTAGAAATGCTACTGTGTCTCAATATACTTACTTTTAGGAGGTCTGCAATATTCCATACATTCCTGAAGGTTTTGAAAGTTGTTGTCATTGCCTTGACAACCACCATAAGTAAAGGCCTCACACTGCATGGAGGTCATATTGAAGAAATAGCGCTTGAAGAGGCCACGGCAGGGCCCCTCTTCCATTTGAAAACGACAGATTTGGGGGATTTCTGTAGTGTGCAGAAGAAAACATGTTAAAGTGAGCATTTCACAAGTGTGAACACAATGCTTATGATATTTTTTTAACCATAACTGCCCTCAGAACTCTCATAAAAAGTCCATTTAAGATGCTGTGTGTATTGTTTACAGAACATGTGCGTGTATTCATAGTGGATGTATAAAATAAACGTACTTGGTATCCTGAAGCATGTTTTCTGGCATTCCAAAAAGGATTTGAAGTTGTTTGCGTTTCCTCTACAACCGCTATAGCTGAATTCTTCACACTGTTGGGTGATTGTATTGTAGTAATAGCGCTGGATGTCGTCATTGCACGTTCCTTCTTCAACTTGCAATAGGCAAACTTCTGTGGGGGAATAAATTGCGCATTAAAAATTATAAATCTCAGCCTCAAATTCACGTGCAACGTTCAGTGTCAGGTTTCAACAAAGCAATCTGTTTCGCCCATTTTGCTACAACTTTTGAGGAAGTCATTAAAAATCCAAATGTTATCTTTACCTTTGGGCTGTAGTCCGACGGCGCTTTGCAGTACAGCAACAATGAGCAAAAGACCTCCAAGAAAATCACACGACATTGTGATAGATTTTGGATTCTAAGGTCGCGTGTAGTCTGATATATGTTACTCGCCTGTGAAGTTACTAACTTGACTTCTTACAATCGTTGCCTTATAAATGGAGAATTTGTCAGGGGTGGAATTGGAAGGGCGGGCTATACTTAGTCATTTCCATGACAATTCCACGCAGTACTACAGCAAATTGCGTCTATTCCCAAAATAGGAAATAAGTAATAACTTCATATTTCATGACCTTAGAATTATAATATAACAAAGAGTGAAAAATTTAAGGGGGTCTGAATACTTTCCGTACCCACTGTATGTACATAACAATGTATTAACAATATAATGTATTATTATTAAGATTATTTTTATTAAGATTATTATAGAATAGTTGTAGCCTAGTAGTTTGGCTCTGATATAATGATACAATGAAATAATGATATAATGAAAATTTTACATTTCCATGTGTGACCACCTCTTTTGAGAGAGAGAGAATACATTTGTCATATCTTGGAGGATAATGCATTATCTAATGTGACAGGTCACGGGGTAAACATGGATTAGCATGCTCATCACAGCAGCCTGTAATACTTTCTATGTCCACGTGACCTAAATTGAAATCCAAGGGTCATTAGGAGAAAACCTGAATCAATTTCATTATGTTTGGGATTTATATTATTGTTTATGTAAATATGTATTTACTTTGTTGAATGTGTGGTTGTTCACAAGAATAGCTGACCAGACATTTGGAGAAGACTATGGAAAGAGAAAATAAGAATGCTTGTTTTAATGAGATTAAGAGATGACAAAGTTTATGCAGATTACTTTATAAACCAGATTGAGAGAGAGGTGCAGAATCTCTTGTCCATTTTCACAGGTGGAGGAGACCTCACCGTAAGCGGCAGTAAGTCTGGTCATTAGCAATATATTGTACTTAAATATCTCAAAGATAAATACCCTACCACATGTGATGTGATCGTTTGATTTGATTTCTCAGACAATGCCGGTCATAAATGTAGAAGATCTGACAGACCTGGATAAGGCAAAAATGGAAGTAACCCAGCTCAAAATTGAGGTGAAGCTTGAAAGGGCGAAGGTAAATTAAATCTACTCATGGCCACATTACACAAAACAGACTACATCGAAGTTGGATGGGCATTGTTGGTATGCTGGTATGTTCTTTTTTGTTTGATTGTCACTTCAATTACTTTTTTTCGTCAGGTGTCCAAATGCTGTGAAGAGATTTCAGAGTACATTCAGAGCGGAGCAGATGAGGATCCTTTGGTCAAAGGCATTCCAGAGGAGAAGAACCCATTCAAGGAGAAAGGTGGCTGCGTCATTTGCTAATGAGGACAGAGAAACCCCCAACTTTTACAGTTTAGTGTTCATTGCTGGACACCTGCTAAAATTGAATCATAGCTGGAATCCATGAAAAAGGACAATCACAAACATGGATAGATGTTCAATTAACTCTAAATGGCTTTTTTTCTCCCTTGTAAATGAGTCCGCAGGATCTGGACCCTAATATGTTGTGTATTCCTCTTTGAAGTGCTGTAATAAATCATTGGGCACTGATCACCAGAGACTTGCTTGATGGACTAATGCATGTATTTCTTTCTTGGGCAGCCAGCCAAAGGGTAACATCTGTGTGACAAAACAGGGTGAAAGTGGAATGTTTGAGCTTGTAATTCACATGATAAATCAAGGCTGATAAATCAAGGTGGAATATTTTAGCTCTTCAATAAAATCACATTACTTGGCAAAGGGCCACTACAGTTTCTGACTGAAATTTCTGTCACCAAAAGAGTCATAATGGGTTTGGTTTAAAATTCACATTAGCCTTTAGAGTAAACCTAATTTTACAGAAAACTTTACTTCATGTGTTAAAGCAGTTTGTCATAATGATTCAGACAAAAGGTCATACTTTCTTGTTAATTAATTAAATGTACTAATGGTACCACAGTGGTAACTGCCAAAATACCATAACTAGGCTACTACATTTAATAAATATTGAATAAATAAGGATCTTGTTTCATTTGACCATTGCCCATTTAACACAGTTTTAATGTATAACTATAAATATGTTAACTAATCTTGATAAAGCGCTGACAGCATTACTGTATATTCGAGTTCTAACTTTACGTGAGGCTAATGCGCATGCGCATGTCAACACTTTTGAGTTCAGTAAGAATGGCACTGCGCGTCTTGAGATTCAGTTTGGCTTTGAATCGCAGTTTACTCAAAACAACTGTTGTCTGCAACAAACGGCACTTGTCAGAAAAAGCGTCCTCCAATCCGAAAGCATCCGTTTCTACCGAAAATATCGATCATGTTCTCTACACAGAGGAACATTTTGCATTAAAGGCATCTTTGAGAAAGGTAGATATGACCGCGTGCTATTGTATTGTGTCTTTAACAAATGTACTATTCTCTGTCGAGATTAATGTTGATTAAGTTTCTTGATACCTGATTATCACACTCACATGAATGTGCAGGTCGAATCTTTTTCAGCAAGTGAATGTAGGTAAGGGGTCACGTACTGTATCAAGTAGCTAGTTTCAACTGGATCGGTTGTATGAATTGCTTGGGATTTCGTTGTCAGTGTCGGACATAATTAAAGGATTTTATGGAAGGATTTGTTTGATATAAAGATACATTCTCAATGTTAACAGATGAATTGTCAAGATTAACCGCTTTGTTTTGATGCTTCCAGGAAGCTATGATAGTCACGTGACGCTCAAGTTGATTATGGCCTGCTGTCAACTCCAGGCTAAAAGTTATTTTTTTTAAAATAAATAAATAAATAAAAAACTTCCCTTCTATACCAAATAAATAAAAGTTTATTTTTCATATTATTTACATTTCAGATTATTTACAAAAAAACATTTAATAAATTAATTTATGTACAATTTGTACATTCTGTCATTTCCATGACCAAACAATTTAGAAAACAAATATTTAGTTTCTCAAAAAGGTTTATCTTTGATTATTATAAGAATGAGAAGTCATTGAGGAATCTCTCTCTATCTCTATATTTTAAAAATGTCATATTTAATTTACTAATAGCTAATCTTTTGTGTTAGCAAGGCCACGACTTTTCTCCAGTGCATGGGGGGGAAAAATCCTTTCCATTACACGTCATTACCTTCTTTAAGGCATGTGATAAATATTTTAACATGAATTATATTTGAATTAATAAGATTTAAATGATTGAAAGTCATTATAATTATACAGCTGTGTAGACTAGGAAGGGTTACAGGGCTTGGGAAGGAAGTTGCTTTCTCCAATTCAAGTGTGTCGGAATAGGCTTGTATGAGAAAGGATATAAGTGGAAAACAGAAAAAGCAACGGATGATGAAAACAATGCCGTAGAGTGAAGCTCAGGGATGGCGTTTATTAAAAGAACTCACCAGAGACAGTGAAACATTGAAAACAAGTTAGAAAAGTCCTTGACATAGAAGCATGTAATATTATTATGCGTCTAAATGAAAGGAAAGACTGATGTGAAATTTAACAGTGCATAATATTTGCAGGCTTGGTTTTATTTTTCAGCTTTTACTCATGCTAAAAGTATTTTACAATAAAATGCACTTCTTCTCAAGGTCACCTCATGACTTGAAGAAATTCTTCACACAGTATTAATCTTACGTAATGCATGTCACGTCAGTTATGTTCCGATTGAAATAAAGAGAGTATGATTTTAAAAATCTAAATGTTTCATGCACAAATAGGGTTACCACTTCCAGGAAACATTACCTACTTTTATTCAGTTTAGTTCAATGGTCATGTCTTCTGGGTGCATAAAGTGTTGACAAACTATAAGTCAGAGTTCTGGACTCCACCAAACAATTCTCAGCTCGGACCGACAAGAGAATTGTGGAATGTATCACCATTCTTTATTAAGAATTAGGAACCTTATACTGAAGGTTCGAACAGGGTGGACCGCTCTTCCTTTCTGACTGTATTATCCAGTCACAGTCTTCTGGGTTTTGAGTAAACCTGTACTAAATAGGCCTGTCACGATAACAACTTTTTGTTGTGCGATATATTGCCCCAGAAATAATTGCGATAAACAATATTATTGTCATTTTAAGACCATTTTGTGCCACTGAATATATAATCGTAATATAAAAGCATAATAATGCAAGAAGGCCAACACACACTTTCAAATGACAACAAACTTTTAATTCTTCAGAATATTTAGATCATGGAAATTAAGTATCAAAATATTAGATACCTTAAAAAACTTGAATAAATAGTAAATAAACATTTTCTAACAAAAAGTGCAAAGTAACAAGAAGAAAAAAGAAAAATTCACAAATAACTTGTATGGAGATTTTTCCATCTGCAGATTTTTTCCCGGACCTTCTTTTCTCTGTAAATTAAGGGTGCACTGTATTGCTGAAAAACACAATCACTACTTAGAAGTCCGTATGCACAAAGGCACTTTAAAAGTATCGATTTGGCACCGGTATCGAAAAAAAACCAAACGATACCCAACCCTACTTAGCAGTCGATGTCCGTATGCACAAAGGCACAGATCCCTAAACAAGGCCATATCTACAGATGAAACTTTTTTGTAGAAGCAATTTGTAAATTTGAACTAGCACCAACTACATCACGTTATGTTCGAGAAGCTGCAAAAGGCACAGGCGCAAGTGGAATGCAAAAAACATGATGACATTCATTTTTATGTAAATATAATGGGCAATATATTGCGTCACCAAAAATTATTGAGGTCATGTACATATATTGTGCGATAAGTCGATATATTGATTATTGCGACAGGCCTAATACAAAATATTACGCTTCCGTTCGATGTTCTCTGCCAGTTTTTCCTGCCAATTCATTCTGCTGAAGAAATTTAAACTACCGGTAGTTCCCACTGAGTTCGTTAGCGTACTGTTGACCCCTGGCTTCCTTTCGATTTTAAACGCTGTTTGTTCTGTGCACACTGCTTTTGAGTCAGGACATTTTTGTTGGCCAGTGAAGCAGCACGTCTGCATGTTTTTGGGGAAATGTGTTGCTCATCCCTCTGCAGTATTTTTCTAACTTTCCACAGCTCATACTGAAGCAGGTTTTTTTCTTAGTCTGTACCCATTAAATGTAGTAAGCATGACATATTAGCTCAAGAGGAATCATTTCCATAGCTGGAAAGGTTTATAGCCTTAATTGAATTAAAATTATTGGCTCATCAACTTACTTTTAATGTTCATATAATGCATTATTGGGAAAATAATTACATTTCTTTTTTGCTTCATTTGTTTAAGTAGATTTCAATGAATTGCCTTACTTTCCTTTGACTCTACCATTGCAACATTATAGTGTTCTTGTGATCAGACACTAAAACAGTACAATGAGTATTACAAGGTCTGTTGACTTTTAATTGCATTTGTTTGAGAGTCTTCTGCTCCATCTGTTTTAAACTTAATACTTTAGCCCAGAATACTTACCCTTATGTTGTTTGTAATCTGCCTGATGTGTCAGATTCTAGGGGACACAAAATAAGTTATTAAGCTAAATATCCAGACTGCTAGTTTACAGCAAGCAGAAGGCAAGGATATAAAGTATATTGGATGGCTTTGGAAGAATTATAAATATGGAACATATTTTCAGTTTTTATGGTACATTTCATGCCTCTTTGGAACTTTTTTTTCTTTTTGTAAATGTCACTCCTCTGTCAGGAATTAATTTATTGTCAGTGCTTGTATCGTTCAAATGTATGGAGTATTGCTGCAGATGCTCACTATATTTCACAATGGTTATGTTATTACAACATGCAGGCGTCTTGAAGTGACTCAAAAGGAAGTTGAGTGTCTGGTCCCGCTTTCAAGGAAGCAACCTATTGTAGGGCTATTACACTCTATATAGCTTGAAGGAACTTGAAAACGTATTATTTTTGGCCTTTTGTCACTTTATAGAAAGGGCGGAAAGTGATGTGTAGAAGGAAGGGTATGGATCAGGAAATGACATGAACCGGATTCAAATTGTCATTGCCCATGTGAGCTAATTGCTAGGCTACATGTCTGTCAGAAATTAAAGACTGAATTACTTCTTGATATTTAGTTACTTTGGAAAGCTTTTGTGATTCTTTGTTGATTTCAGTCTCTATTAATTAATCCTCAATTTTTGACGGTTCACTTTAACTTTAGTCTGAATGCATAGTAAAGGTGTAAACATTTAGACTGTTACCCAGTTTCTGTTGTGTTGTTTTGAGCTGTTTCCTCCTTATTTCCCGTGAAATCCTGCTTCATTGGAATACGTGTTTAATTGCAAACATGGTGTTAATATAATACACAATTTCCCTGGAATCTATAAATCAGATAATATTCATGTCACGTAGGGCTGGACGATATGGCCAAAATTGATATCACGATATATTTCTTAATTTCGGTCGATACGGTATAATTCCGATATCGATATGAACACTATTTATCTGAAATAGAAATCTTTTGTAACATTATAAATGCCTTTATCATCACTTTTGATCAATTTTAAGCATCCTTGCTAAATAAAAGTATTAATTTCTATAATTTCTTTCCCAAAAAAATAATAAAAATTATACTGAATGGAATAGTGTATAATGTTACAAAAGCTTTTTATTTCAGATAAATGCTGATCTTGGATCTTTCTATTCATCAAAGAATCCTGAAAAAAAAAAAATGTACTGAACTGTTTTTAATATTTATAATCAGCATATTATACTGATTTCTGAAGGATCATGTGACACTGAAAACTGGAGTAATGATGCTGAAAATTCAGCTGCACATCACAGAAATAAATTACATTTTAAAATCTATTCAAATAGAAAGCAATTTTAAATAGTAAAAATATTTCAACATTTTACTGTTTTTGCTGTACTTTGGATCAAATAAATGCAGCCTTGGTGAGCAGAAGAGAATTCTTAAAAAAAAAAAAAACATAAAAAATCTTACTGTTCAAAAACTGCAAAAAAGCAGGAGGCGCTTTTAGAGTGATAAAACTAGCGGTTTCTCCAGTAATGGCTGTAATCAAAGCAGCTCCGCTCATGAACGCTTCTTTATCAGATCAAATGAAAATGCCATCGAAACTTTTCTGAAGACAGTCAATTCCCTTCAGAGATACATTCATATAAAACACCCGCGCCGTGTTATGATTTTGAAACGTGCAGTGCTCATGTTTATTCAACGAAGTCAAACGGCACAAATAAATCAATGTATGGGAAACTGGTAATGTATATCGAAATATCGGAAATGTGTTTAAAAATCATATCACCGTTATTGAAAAAAATTATATCGCGATACATATTGATATTGAATTATTGTCCAGCCCTAATGTCACGTCATTTTCAGGTTTGGTTACAGTACTCAGATAAAGCATTCTGATCTATGTTTGTGTTATAGATCATTGATCAAGAGATCAACCCTTATGTAGACCAATGGGAGCAAGAAGGGCAATTTCCTGCTCATAAGCTCTTCAAAATCCTGGGTAATGCAGGATTTCTAGGAGTCAACAAACCTGTGGGTAAGTAGACGTTTGTTAATTTACCTTAATCAAGCATAAAAGTGACTTCATCTTACATTTGTATTATTTCCCCCCTCTTTTTGCCACAAAACGGTCATAATTAAGTTTTTCATGCCAGTTTCATTAAACTCTCTGACATTTAGAGTTAAACTGGAAGTTTAACTCTAACTGTAACCCTAAATCTTCAGCCACTCTTTCCTAAAACTGGCTCCTTCCAAAGAATGTTATATCCAGAGCGGCAGGTGCTATATAGCCAGTTTGGGCATTATGCTTCTGATTCTTGATGTCAGAACAAAATTTCAGCACAAGCAGTTTGTGCAGCTTAACGTATGTGTTCTTTTAGTACTGTGAACTAGGGTTGTGACGGTGAGGACATTTTCCCACCGGTTAATCGATGTGTGACAACACCGATAATACACCGATAATACCAGTATCACTTGGGGGCCGGGGCGTTTCCTCTTTTCCTTGCTTACCTTCACAAAATAGCTTGCAAAAGCAGCGTGCGCATTTTACTTTCACTTTCAAATAGCGGCAATTCGGCGTAAAGCAATTGTTTCTTTTTTAGTTCGTTTGAATTTTCCCTCTTTTCCTCACTTTCCTTCGCTTTTAAATAGCTTAAAAACACCGAGTGCCCTCACTCTTCTTGTCAGTCAGCTCGACTTACTCTCCTCACTGGATAAATGAAATCTGATCTGTGATGCGACTGTCGTTCGGCTCCAGCCGCGTTCAGTTTTTAATTGTAGTGTCTGTTCTTTTACTGAACTAAATGATTTTTATTACTATTATAAAAAATCAAAACGACGGTGGAGGTCGGTGCCGCGGTGGGCAAGTGACGTAACCGGTGTTGCGGCTTAACAACGGTATCACTGTCAATTGCGGCAAGCATACTGTGAACTCTATTCTATTATCGCGCAAGATCAAGGAAAACTTGATGTGACCCCTTGAGAGCAGCAGGTTTAAATATTGCTCTTTCACAGGAAAATATGCATTTAATGTACAAAAAGATGGAACATTCAGATTTTCCAGTAATGACAGAATTAAAGTTCTAAGTAACCTCCTTCAGAAAAGTAGAGAATAAGAAGATTGTAGGGTGCCCTTTAAAAAGTCTTAGGTTTTTTTATGTGAGCGCAGATGGATTCATGAGAAAATAACAACATGGCTCCAAGAAGCAATTACGAGAACAGTGGAAAACACCTTGTAACACAAAATAGATTTGTGGCCTTATACACATATCAAAATGTCAGTACACCGCTTTTTACCATACGGTTCAAAGCATTGCTATAAAATCCCAATACATGAGAAGAATAAAGAACAACCAAAAGGAAATACAGCTGGTGCCTGTGCATATTTTAAAAGCCCACAGGCTCTCTGTGAAGTGTAAAATTCAAATAGAAGTACTTTTGTTTTTGTGAACACTCTTCTATACATTTCATTAATGTACAAGATTGTCTTGGTATGTCTGTAATCAAGATAGCAACAAATATACCATCCAAATCTAGGATTGTAAGAACTTGTGCAAACAATCAATGACTGTTGAGCCTCATTCTTAAATAGCATGCAGATAATATCGTCATAATTTATTTCATTTTTCCTCTTTTTAACATGATATAGCAAAAGTTATAGTAATTAAATATTTGGAATACAATACAGTATAATTGTTAGGTGGCTGAAGGCTCTGGGGGAAGCAGCTTCATAAATCTGTAGGTCAGAGGAGAGCAGCTCTTGCATTAAGAAGTGCTGACACTGTGACACTTCTGCATTAGCAGGCTGGATTTACAGCATCTTCTTAGAAGATTAGTACTCGGAGCATTGCCTCACCTCTTTTGATATGTGCAGCACAAATACACCAGCAAGTCTCTAAACAATAACATCAAATCTGTTCAGGTGAATTGTGACTTGACTGCTGTAGGCTAAACCGGAGCTTTTCCGATATGCACTCTATTTCTCATCTCTCATCTGTGAGCTCACTCTCGAGATTTGGGGTAGTTTTGTAACTATTTTTATATTAAAAATCCACCATAGTCAGTGACTTAAGAGGTTGACATTTTTACATTTATAGAAACCAGCACCATTTAATGTAAATGTTTTTCTTAAAGCATACTTTACAATCTTGGCTACAAAAAAATAAATAAATAAATAAATAAATAAATAAAAGGTTATTGAACACTTCCGTGGTTATGGAATATATAGTATAAAGTATACAGTTCAATGAACACACATTACATATCATTACTGTCAGCAGGGCTTGTTGTCACATTATTTGGGGTATGTTGTCACAATGTAACTTACTTTTAATTCACCTATTATAAGCTTTTTAGCAAAATTTCAACAGTAAAACAATTATGAAATGCAATTTATGAAACCGCAAAAGGTAAACGGTAATGTACAAAAATCTAAAATCATTATATTGACCAACCAATATTCTAATTGATTCGGTACGTTTACGAATTATGATTTAAATCACTTGCCCTAACTTGATATTTATGAAAAATACTCGTCCTGAAAACGTTTCAACTTTTAGTGTGGAATTTACCTTCATTATATAGTTGAATTATGTCTAAATATGTTTCAGTGTGGTTCAGTTGTGTTTACTTGTTTACAACAGCTACTCTACAGCAGAAATATGGTATTGCCATTTTCGTTTGGGAGACAGAATTCACAAAAATGATGGAACTAAGTGTTAAAAAACACTTGTGTAATTTAACTTAACAAAGCCTTACAGTCAGTTACTGAGAAATAGCTCTTGTGAAAACAAGCCCTACTGGCGTAAATCCAGAATGTCTGTTTTTCCAACCATGGAAAACTCCGATAAGACACTAAGACTCCGTTCTTATCCAAACGAACAGTCTTTTGACATTTACTCCCAAAATATGTGGGGGTACATGGCCTCTTGTTTCTCTTGAAATACCTCTAATTTCACATCTATGTGATGATTAAATGTACTGTGCAAGTGTACCCCACCAAACAGGAGAATCACTCTCCACGGAAAAAAAAAAAAATAATAAAATGTTCACACGCACACAGAGAATGGAAATGTTGACCACCTTCCAATAGCTGTCCTTCGTAAAGCTCAGATCTGCTTGTTGACATATGACATTAAACATCCTTTTTCCATTTTGTTCCAACTGTATATCTTAGTATTTCATACTATACAAACCCATATAAGACTATTACACAATATTTGCATTGTAATGTGGAAAACGATCACAGTAACAATCAGAATTCCATCTCTTTAATCTTCTCAAATGTTGTTCTCCAAGACTCCTTAAAGTTAGTTAAGCTAGTTTGTGGTCAAGATAAACAAACCATCTGTTTAGATGCATCTCACTAGATCATCTGTTTGGATACAGAATTGTTGGACTCCAGCTGTTCCTGTGCAGCTGTATCTGTTTCCTCTGCTCTCTGGCTTCTCTTTTCCTTATTTTGCCACACCAAATGTCGTCCACAACCATTGCGGGACCTGATGACAGAATACAGCGTCCTGTAGTACTGGGGGAAATGAGCGTAGTGTTCACTACAGTCACTAAAGGACTTGCTTTTCAGCATTATTGTTGCCCTTATTGCTTTCACAGAATAGAATCATTTCCTTAATGTTGAAATTTTTGTTTCCTGAAGGAAAATACTAAATGAAATGGAACATGAAATGACATGAATAAATGCATGACAAGGAAAGTATTGTGGGAAACAGTAATGCTTTTATTACGGTCAAATGTAATAGCTTATACCACGTTTGCGCAAGACATTGTAGTATGTTATAATGATGACTGAATGGACTGCAAGGGTGTGAAAAGGGAATGTCAAGTTTTAGATTACTGCATGGCAAAAATATGTAGACGACTCTTACATGATGCATACTTGTCTTCAGTACTGAAGTAAGCAAGTTCAGATTAATGCCGCCCAAGAACAAGGAGACCTGATAGAAACGGTCTAAATTACACCTGCTTTGTGATCAAAATTTTCAAATCTTCTGAGATATTTGACTTAAAGCTGCAGTCCGTAACTTTTTTGTGTTCAAAATTTATATAATAAGCGAGTACACCATGAATCCATTTTCCAAACCGTGTTTTTGGCTTGTCATGAATCACTACGGTACACCTATAATAAGTGTTTATATTCAGACTATTTAGACTGGTTCGGGTAGGTACCGCTGCGGAGTAGCCCAGTACCTGTGTGATTCGCCATAGACATAAACAGAGAGAAGTAGCTCCGGCTACAATGTTCTTCCGCAAGACGCACGCAGTTCTGTGTATTAACCGCTAGAGCGCCAAAAGTTACGGACTGCAGCTTTAAGCATTCATTTCAAATGTTTACATGCTCATTAACAAAAAACTGAAGAGATGAAGCATCCAGGTGATCTGCTAACTGGACATTCACTTATTTTTTTGTTCACTGGCTGCAGAGTATGGAGGTCTGGGGTTGGACTTCAGCTACAGTGTGGCTGTTGCTGAAGAACTGGGGAACATCAACTGCGGAGGGATTCCCATGGCCATCGGCGTGCAGAGTGATATGGCTACACCTGCACTGGCGAGGTATTTCTCCTGCTAGTATTCTTAGCCTTTAAGTACACCTCAAACAGTGGCTATGCTCAGAATCGAATGCTACACAAAATACTGCACTTTACACTGCTTACTATTTTTTAGGATTAGTAACTGAAACATAGGCATTATTCCATGATAACAATTTCCAACTCTATGCTACATTGCTCTTCACATTGGTTAATTCTGGTTTCTTCATCAGTTGGCCTTGTCATTAAATGTCATTTGTCTCAAAATATTCTTCTCACTCTGAAAGTAAAAAAAGACGCAGTTAATGAAAGATACACTGCAAAACTCATATTCTTAATAACTATTTTTACTTGTTTACTTGAGAAACAAAAATGTATATGAGATACTCACTCCTTTTTTTTAGAGAATATCTCTAATTTAATAGAATCTCAATTAAATAGAATTCAATTAGTCAACCCATTTGCAAGAGATCTCTTTTTTTTTTGCTAAATAAAAATTAATTAGGTTTAGGAAAAATTGTCTAAGAAAAATAAACTTCATTTTAAGATATATTCTCTTATAAGAAAATATATTATGCAATTTTGCTTTGCAAGTAATTGTGTTTTTATTTATTTACTTATTTATTTCTGTGTTTTTATTTATTTATTTTTAATGGCGAAAAGGCAAAAAAAAACTGATTAGAAAAAGTATTTTATAAAGTGTATTAATAGAATGTTGGGTAACACTTTAGAATAGGGAACACTTATTCACTATTAACTATGACTTTTCCCTCAATAAATTCCTAATTTGCTGCTTATTAATAGTTAGTAAGGTAGTTGTTAAGTTTAGGAATTGGGTAGGATTAGGGATGTAGAATAAGGCATTAATATGTGCTTAACTAGTACTAATAAATGGCTAATATTCTAGTAATATGCATGCTAATAAGCAACTAGTTAAGAGACCCTAAAATAAAGTGTTACCGAATGTTGCAGTAGACTCTGAATGAGGTATTTCTTCACCATGTGTTGATAGACTCTTAAAACATTAAATCATCATTTATTATAATTATAAATAAATGATAAATTATAAATAAATACTGTAGTCATCAGGATGGATCCATTTCCTCTTTTTAGTATTTGACATATTCTAACTGCAGCAGGTTGTACGCTGTCACTGAGGGGATTTTACTGCACTGTGCTCACTCTCTGGAAACACTCATTTTTTCTGTGCATATTCGTTTTGGCTATTTGGATTCAGAAAATCTGGGATTTTAGCGATTTTGATTCGTTTCCTTTGTGATTCTGCCCTATGGAACAGTTTCTGAAATTGCATTTGCTGCTAGTAAAATGTAAATGTCTCCTGTAACCCATGCTGCCTCGTGAGCTTTCAATCACTGTTGCTATGACACTCACAAAATAACAATGAGGATGTGACTGTGACCTCTGTGCTGTTGTAGGTTTGGTTCTGCAGAGCTCAAGAGAGAGTTCTTGCAGCCCACCATAATGGGAGACATAGTGGCCTGCCTCGGGGTGAGCGAAACTGGGGCCGGCTCTGATGTAGCAAGTAAGTATTTTGCTGGAGATAATGTACCTAACAGGAAAGACATGCTCTTTTTATTGCCATGGGGGTGTTTTAAACAAGATGTAAACATACACCAGACGCAAATCTAAAATTAATTACTTTCCCAGATGAAGATATCAAAGCATTTCAGGCCAGGGAGATTAAAAGACTTGCCTACAAGGGAATACCACACAGGGAGATGCAGATCTATTTTTCATAAATGTATTAAATTTTGTATTTGAAGTAAAGCTGGTACTAGTCACATATTATTAATGAGTTGTTTTGAGGTTAAATGAAAGTACAGTATTACTTTATTTTACATTTAAAGCCAAGTATGATCTAAAGCAGTGATTCTCAACCTTTTTGGCTTGAGGGTCCTTCTTTGTCCAACAAAAAATCCTTGAATTTCCTCTAATATTTCTTCTGTAATTATGACAAAGCTGGTTGTTTTGAACTTTTTTATTAACAGAAACTGGGAGTGGTGATATAGTTAAATTAACCACAGTTCATTTTGTGATTCCATAAAAGTGTTGTTATTTTTACATAACAAAAAACTAATAAAAAATACTAAAATTAAAATGAGAACTGAAAAATATAAAAAATAAAAGCTCATTTCAAATACTAATAAATACTAATAGTATATAAACAATACTAAAATAACATTTAAGCATTTATATAAAAATTTGTCAAGTTTAAAAAAAAAAAAATGTTTAAATATTGTGTAAGAAAACTAAGCTTAATTTAAGATAACCAAAATATATTATGCAATTTTGCTTCTCAAGTCAACTGGTCTAACTGGCTAAACTGGCAAAAAAAAATCAAAATATGAAGAAAAAAAAAACTAAAACTTTTAAAATTAAAATGTAAAATATAAAAATAGAAACTAATTTAAAATAATAATAAATACTATAATAGTAAATAAATAATACTAAAATACACTTCAAGAAGTTTCAAGAACTCATTCTTCAATAAAACAATAGTTACTGTGGGGGAAAAAACCCTTTTTTTTTTTTTTTTAGCATTTTCATTAGGTAAGAGTGTTTAATATATTAATTTATTATTATTATTATATAATAATAATAATAATAATATACTAATTTAAATAATTTTAAGTGACACCATGGCCCCATTGGAAGCTTTCTGAAGCCCCCTAGTAGGCCTCTGCCTCCTGGCTGAGAACCACTGATCGGAAGAGTCTAATTTATAAATACTGTCTCCTTCAGGCATCAAGACTAAAGCTGTGCGCAAAGGAGATGAACTTGTCATTAATGGAGGAAAGATGTGGACTACTAATGGCACTCAAGCAGACTGGATGTGCCTCCTGGCCAACACCAGCGATGGCCCTCCACACAAGAACAAATCCTTAATCTGCTTACCTATGAATCTGTCAGGTAATACTTTACGCAAAAGCACAAAACTTTTGGAAAAGAGTCTTTTTTCTGCCAAAGAAATCATGCTAATGTTTTACCATTCATCCGCAGGCGTTCATATCGCACGCAAGATCGATAAAATAGGCATGTGGTCATCGGATACAGCAGAGGTGTTTTTCGATGACGTGCGTGTGCCTTGCAAAAATGTCATAGGGCAGGAAGGAATGGGCTTCACGTACCAGATGCTACAGTTCCAGGAGGAGCGACTCTGGGGGGTGGCCAATAGTAAGTAATCCATTCCAACTCCCACACATCCCACCGCACGGCAAACATTTCTCTTCACTGGCACGGGCATGACGTCAGTGTGTTAATGTCAGTAGTGCCTGTGTGTTTACAAAGCCAGATCGCTCTCCTCTCAGGCCCAAATGTGTTTATCAGTGAGGCAAACTTCAGGATGAACTTGTGTGTTTTGCTTTAAACATCAAGGAAGAAAAAGGTCTGGCATGTTCTGGAGGATCTTTTGACATCATCAGCCAACATTTCAGCCTTCCTGTCTAGATATTATCAGGACTGAAATCCTACAACTATTTCATCTGGCATATAATTTATTGAAAAACACGTCGGAATTTTTCCTATGACTTGATATTGTCATACTTGTTTTTCAAGTCCTGACGACCATGGAGAAAGTTGTCCAAGAGACCATCAATTACACCAGACAGAGGAAGATCTTCAGTCAGCCGATTCTATACCACCAGGTTGTTCACTTCAGGCTGGCTGAGCTGCAGACAGAAATCGAGCTGTTGCGCTCCCTTTTGCATCGTGCCACAGGTGAGTCTGACTGTTTCTTAAATTATCCCAGAATGATTTTCTAGACCAAGGCAGCTATGCAATTTCATGGGTTTGGGTCTGGTAGGTCTACAGGGCCACTGATTTCCAAATTAATAAATGGAAAGAAATGGTGTGAACACTGGCTTGCAATCAGTCCATTTTCATTTTACCTCCCTCAGGTTGTGAAATCAAAAATTAGAGCTGAACCTCAGCATGTATGCCTGAAAATGAATACCTCTGAAATTCTTAAGATGTTTTTTTGTGCACTTTCATTAGCTCTGTACATTAAGGGAAACAATGTAACAAAGTTGGCATCAATGGCTAAGCTGAAGGCAGGACGACTGGCCCGAGAGCTCAGTGACAGCTGCCTCCAGTACTGGGGTGGCATGGGCTTCACCAGTGACGTCCTAGTCAGCAGGTTCTACAGGTCAGTTTCTCTCATCTGAACTAAGGTGAATGCGCTCTCAGAGCTGCAGTGACATCTAGTGACATTGAAAAGCAACAGGTTTGGAATCCATGTATTCACTCATGAGTTTGGGCGGAAAGAGCCATGTCAGTGTGAATGCAGTGAATCAAACTTCTGATTTTGAAAATTGTAAAAAATATTGCAAGCCTAGTCCTCATCTGTCAGGTCACAAATATATATAATCTGTTTTTGTTTTTTTGGTCTTATCAGGGACTCCAGATTAATGTCCATTGGTGCAGGAGCTGATGAGGTGATGCTGTCAATCATATGCAAGTACATGGACACTCTACCCAAGAAATGAAATCACCGATAGGAGTTCAGTTTGAAAAACAAAGTGCACTTAAATGGATAATCTGACACTAAATATAAATTAACTAGTTATATCAGTTATAAAAGCAGTTAGCAACTTTAAGATGGATGATTTGTACATTGCAGTAAATAAAAAATGGTACCTCAATATAGTTGAAGAAAACCTTTATATGTAGCTATATGTAACATATGTAAATTTTGATTATAGTTGTAAATGACTGTTTGTTATGCATGAAAAAATAAAGTTTTCATAATTCTTAAGACGCTTGTAAGATTCCTGCTAACCATAAATGGAATATATGAAAACAGGACTCAAGCTTTTGACACCAAAGGAAATTTTAATGTAATAATTCTCTCAAAAATGACATTTATTTACAAATTAGTTTCTAAAAAACTGAAATAATGCATGGTTTATGTTAACCATAGAGAGCAGAAGGGTTTGAAAAAGAACTTCAAAATTACTTAAGGCATTTCTGAAGTAGACAAAATTCTGGGGTGGTTTTTGATATGTTACACATCTGCATTGAACATAAACTCACATATCTCAATATGGTTTTCACAGTCTGAAGATCAGCCCTTTGAACACTATATTCACACAATTTTGTGGCTGCTCTTTCAAGGGTGTTGTGAAGATTTGCACAGTAAAGGAAAGGAAAATACAGGCTGATTAGGTTTTTGTTGTTTTGTTTACACCCCATTCAGCTGGGCAGTTGCTGAATTTCCAACTATATGATTAAAGGACTACTGTGCTGTTGTGTGCCTCTCTTATAAAGGTATTTAATCTGTATCCTAATAGAAGATATAAATTAGCACATTTATAGCACTGAAGTTCTCCAAAAATAATAATCATACCACAAAGGTCAGTATTTCTGAATAAAAGGAAATGCCAGATGTCAGTTGTTAATCTCTAACATATTTTTGTGACCAGTATCAGACAATTAGCATCATCCCTGCACTGGGACACTAATTTTGGAAGGTTAGGACAGAGTTTTGGGTTTGGTTCTGCAGAGCTCAAGAGAGAGTTCTTGCAGCCCACCATAATGGGAGACATAGTGGCCTGCCTCGGGGTGAGCGAGTAAGAATTTTTCAGTAAAATTTTTTTAATCATTTAAAACCCCCCCCAAAATTAATATGCTCACTTATTCTTTTATATATTTTAATATGTACAGGTCAGAATAAGCATGTTGTTTGAATTTTTACATAACTATAAGTGTTACACTGAATGACAATGGAACATTATTCTCAATATAGTTGAAGAAAACCTTTATATGTAGCTATATGTAACATATGTAAATTTTGATTATAGTTGTAAATGACTGTTTGTTATGCATGAAAAAATAAAGTTTTCATAATTCTTAAGACGCTTGTAAGATTCCTGCTAACCATAAATGGAATATATGAAAACAGGACTCAAGCTTTTGACACCAAAGGAAATTTTAATGTAATAATTCTCTCAAAAATGACATTTATTTACAAATTAGTTTCTAAAAAACTGAAATAATGCATGGTTTATGTTAACCATAGAGAGCAGAAGGGTTTGAAAAAGAACTTCAAAATTACTTAAGGCATTTCTGAAGTAGACAAAATTCTGGGGTGGTTTTTGATATGTTACACATCTGCATTGAACATAAACTCACATATCTCAATATGGTTTTCACAGTCTGAAGATCAGCCCTTTGAACACTATATTCACACAATTTTGTGGCTGCTCTTTCAAGGGTGTTGTGAAGATTTGCACAGTAAAGGAAAGGAAAATACAGGCTGATTAGGTTTTTGTTGTTTTGTTTACACCCCATTCAGCTGGGCAGTTGCTGAATTTCCAACTATATGATTAAAGGACTACTGTGCTGTTGTGTGCCTCTCTTATAAAGGTATTTAATCTGTATCCTAATAGAAGATATAAATTAGCACATTTATAGCACTGAAGTTCTCCAAAAATAATAATCATACCACAAAGGTCAGTATTTCTGAATAAAAGGAAATGCCAGATGTCAGTTGTTAATCTCTAACATATTTTTGTGACCAGTATCAGACAATTAGCATCATCCCTGCACTGGGACACTAATTTTGGAAGGTTAGGACAGAGTTTTGTCTCATATTGCACATAATCACTCAATGGTTCAAAAGAATGCACTCTCGCACTCCTCAATTACCTCAGTCCTCATCATCACTGTGAGGATTCTGACCCTCTATCCCAAATAAGCATGGCACATAAGAAAGGTCCTGAAGAGTCTCATCAGTCCTATGATCACCTGAGTTTGATCACCCAGTACAGGACAATAAAAACAAACAGAGCAAACAGCAGCATGTAGCAATACACCTTAGTTTGGCTTCCCCTGGAGATGAGTTTCAATCTACCTATGGTGGCTCCCAACAGACCTCCAGTTGAGTCGAAGTCCGAGTCCTTGAGGAGAAACAAACATGAGATGTTACAGCTATTCAGATCAGTGTTTTGATGAAGAGACCAGATAGTGAATCGTTTCCCATCACTTACCATTTCTCCCAACATTTTATTCTGGTACTTGACTTCATTTCCAATGTCAATTGAAAGCTGAAATAGATGTAAAAAGTATAGGTTATTTAGAATTCAACACTTTATTGCAATAATTATATATATATATA